TCCCTTCAGATAAGCAAGAATCCTGTCAACTGCCTCCCAATGCTGGACTCGTGGAGCATGCATGTATTGACTTACTACACTTACTGCATAGGAGATGTCTGGTCTTGTCATACACAAGTATAGCAGCCGACCTACAAGTCTCTGATATCTCCCAATGTTCTTTACTGGTTCACCTTCTGATGCATTGATTTTATGGTTCTGATCAATAGAGGTGTTGATTGCCTTTGTTCCAATCTTCCCTGTCTCTTGAAGAAGATCCAATACATACTTCCTTTGTGAGATAAGAATTCCATGTTTTGATCTTGCAACTTCAATGCCTAAGAAGTATCTCAGTTCTCCAAGATCCTTAATTTCAAACTCTTTATGTAGGTTCTTTTTCAGACCTTCAATCTCACTCAGATCATTCCCGGTGACAACAATATCATCCACATAAACAATTAGGACTGACACCAAAGATCCCCTTCACTTCACAAACAAGGTGTGATCGGATTGAGTCTGAGTGTAGCCAAAAGCAATCAAGGCCTGTCTGAATCTGTCAAACCATACTCTGGGAGACTGTTTCAAGCCATAAAGTGACTTCTTAAGCCTACATACCTTTCCCTTTTCAATATCATTGTAAAAACCAGTAGGAAGATCCATATACACTTCTTCTTGCAAATCCTCATTTAGGAAAGCATTCTTCACATCAAGTTGAAACAAGGGCCAAGAGTATGAGGCAACAAGAGAAAGAAGTATCCGAACAAAGGTCATCTTTACAACTGGCGCAAAGGTCTCTAAGTAATCAATGCCATAGGTCTGTGTGTACCCTTTTGCAACAAGTCTTGCCTTGTACCTTTCTATACTTCAATCTGCCTTATATTTTACTGTGTAAACCCATCTGCATCCAACTGTCTCCTTGCCTTCTGGTAGATCCACAATGTCCCATGTCTGATTCTTAATCAAAGTTGCCATCTCTTTCTGCATAGCTGTCTTCCACCCAGGTTTGGAGAGAGCCTCACTAACACCCTTGGGTATAGACATTGAATCCAAAGAGGAGAGAAAAGCACGGTAGGAAAGAGAAAGTCCACTGTAGGATAAGTACTGTGAAATACAATGAGCAATACACTTTCTCTTCCCTTTTTTGAGAGCAATAAGGAGATCAAGGTTATCTGTAACAGAGTTAGTAGGATCAATGGGAACTGAAACAGTAGCGGGACCAAGAGGAATACCTGAATCCATGGTAGCCAAATCTCGTCTCTCCAAGGAATCGATAGGAAGTGATGTGAGTTTTGTTGTAGTGGAATCAACCTCCTTGTGAAGTCTCTATCATAAGTAATGTTGAGAAGCAAAACGCAAAGGAGGTGGCAAGGTAGGTGCCACAGGGTGGTGGTCAAGCACWGGAGTAGACACAGGGACTGGAACTGGGAGAGGAATAGATTGCTGACTCGCTTCCCCAAAACATTCCCCCTGAGAAGGATTCTTTGAGAAGAAGTACGAGGATTCAAAAAAG